ACCAAAAATAATAATAATAAACAATACCAACCAAAAATAATAACAAAACAAGTAAAAAAAAAAAAGCCTTTTTCAAGCAGGTGCGCCTTTTATGCGCCTGTGGCCTTGTGCCTTTGTAGCAGAGGCGCGCGCCCACTTCAAGCCAGTCGCCTTAAGCACTTACAGGCAACATGATGGCACCTGTAGGCACCTTGCGCTTTATACGCGCGCCTTCGGCGCCTTTGACAACTATGTGCTTATCACTTACTTTGTAGTGTCTCACACCATCCACCACTCACTCATGTTAACACTCACTAGCACTCTCGCACTTGCTCGTGCTAACACTAACTAGCACTCGCTCGTGCTTATCACTTACAATGTAGTGTCTCTCGCCATCCACCTGGCTCGAACACTCACTCGGTCTCAAACTCTTGCACTCGCTCATGCTAACACTCACTAGCACTGGCTCATGCTTATCACTTACATTGTAATGTCTCTCGCCATCCACCTGGCTCGAACACTCACTCGGTCTCAAACTCTCGCACTCGCTCGTGCTAACACTCACTAGCACTTGCTCATGCTTATCACTTACATTGTAATGTCTCTCGCCATCCACCTGGCTCGAACACTCACTCGGTCTCAAACTCTCGCACTCGCTCGTGCTAACACTCACTAGCACTCGCTCGTGATTATCCCTTACATTGTAGTGTCTCTCGCCATCCACCTGGCTCGAACACTCGCTCTCAAACTCTCGCACTCGCTTGTGCTAACACAACTAGCACTCACTCGTGCTTATCACTTATTTTGTAGTGTCTCTCGCCATCTACCTGGCTCGAACACTCACTTGGTCTCAAACTCTCGCACTCGCTCGTGTTAACACTCACTAGCACTCGCTCGTGATTATCCCTTACATCGTAGTGTCTCTCGCCATCCACCTGGCTCGAACACTCACTGGCTCTCAAACTCTCGCACTCACTCATGCTAACACTCACTCGCACTCGCTCGTGCTTATCACTTATTTTGTAGTCTCTCACCATCTACCTGGCTCGAACACTCACTCGGTCTCAAACTCTCGCACTCCCTCGTGTTAACACTCACTAGCACTCGCTCGTGATTATCCCTTACATTGTAGTGTCTCTCGACATCCACCTGGCTCAAACACTCACTCGCTCTCAAACTCTCGCACTCGCTCGTGCTAACACTCTCGAGGACTCACTCGTGCTTATCACTTACTTTATAGTGTCTCTTGTCATCCACCTGGCTTGAACACTCACTCACACTCGCTCGTGCTAACACTCACTAGCACTCTCGCACTCGCTCGTGCTAACACTCACTAATACTCACTCACGCTTATCACTTACATTGTAGTTTCTCTCACTATCCACCTGGTTCTCGCACTCACTCGTGCTAACACTCTCTAGCACTCACTCGTGCTTATCACTTACTTTGTAGTGTCTCTCACCATCCACCTAGCTCGAACATCACTCACAGTCGCTCGTGCTAACACTTGCTAGCACTCTCGCACTCACTCGTGCTTGTCACTTATTACATTGTAATGTCTCTCGCCATCCACCTGGCTCGAACACTCATTTGCTCTCAAACTCTCGCACTCACTCATGCTAGCACTCGCTAGCACTCGCTCATCCTTATCACTTACATTGTAGTGTCTCTCGCCATCCACCTGGCTCGAACACTCACTCTCAAACTCTCGCACTTGCGCGTGCTAACACTCTCTGGCACTCACTCGTGCTTATCACTTACTTTATAATGTCTCTCGCCATCCACCTGGCTCGAACACTCACTCGTGCTAACACTCACTAGCACTCTCGCACTCGCTCGTGCTAACACTCACTAGCACTCACTCGTGCTTATCACTTACATTATAGTGTCTCTTGCCATCCACCTGGCTCGAACACTCACTCTCTCAAACTCGCACTCGCTCGTGCCAACACTCACTAGCACTCGCTCATCCTCATCACTTACATTATAGTGTCTCTTGCCATCCACCTGGCTCGAACACTCGCTCGCTCTCAACGTCTCTCACCATCCACTTGGCTCGAACACTCACTCGCTCTGAAACTCTCTCACTTGCTCCCGCCAACACTTGGCTTGTACACTTCCTGCCCCCAGATCACCAAACCCTACACCACACATCGCGTCTAGGTCATTAAACCTTAAGGGCCTCGCCCTCGAGTCACCAAACCCTGGCATCACACCCAGGTCACCATACCCTGCATCGCGTATCGCTTCCAGGTCAAAGCTAGAAAGCCTCACCTTCGAGTCAACAAACCCTGGCATCACGCTCAGGTTACCAAACCCTGCATCACGTATCGCGTCCAGGTCACTTAACCTTGAAGGTCTCACATTCAAGTCAACAAACTCAGGCATCCGACCCAGGTTACCAAGCCCTGGCATCATACCCAGGTTATCAAACCCTACATCACGTATCGCGTCCAGGTCACTAAACCTTGAAAGCCTCACCTTCGAGTCAACAAACCCTGGCATCGCGCCCAGGTCACCATACCTTGCATCGCGTATCGCGTCTAGGTCACTAAACCTTGAAGGCCTCACCTTCGAGTCAACAAACCCTAGCTTCAGACCCAAGTTACCGAACCCTTGCATCAAACCCAGGTCATCAAACCCTGTATTGCATATCACGTCCAAGTCACTAAACCTTGAAGGCCTCACCTTCGAGTCAACAAAACCTGGCATCAGACCCTAGTCACCATACCCCGACATCACGCCCAGGTCATCAAATTCGAGGGCCTTACCCTTAAGTCACCAAGCCCTAGTATTTCGCTAAGTCGTCAAACCTCGCATATAGCACCACTCTCAAGTCATTTATGCAGGACTACTCTTTTACGAATTCTACAAAGCTCACCCGCGCAGGGGGACTAAATGTAGGTGTCCAAAATATCTTACCTCACACAGCCCACATAGCTTGGTCAAACAGTCAAAGAACTACGCCACATCATCAACAATGACCACATACCTCGGTCAAATAGTCAACAGACTACGCCACATCATCAACGATGGCCCACAAGTCAAACGGTCAAAGATACGTGCCATTTACCACGTTATCGGTATACCTCGAGCAGAAGATTGAAGACTTAAAGACCTGAGTTGGGAGCAAGACTTAGGATTACCTGGGATCCGAGAGGTACTTGGTTTGGTGGCTGAAGTTCAGGGCTCGTTGAGTCAACCCTCGACCTGATTTGCAGAGAGAGAAATACCATTTTGACTCCCGAAATTATTTACCTCATTTTAATTAATATAGATTTATAATTATTTGAGATATTTATCTCTTTTAATTATTATATTAATTAATTTATAGGTGATGTCATGGGATGACATCATCCAACCTCTCACCTGGCCTATATAAGAAAGTGTTCCAAGGCTGAGGGGTAAAGCAAACAGGGAGGAAAACTCCTCCTAGACATTGAGAGCTCTAAAGCCTCTCTCTCACATAGGTTGTCTTCACAACCCTTAAACATTTACCAAGGGAGTCAATGGTACACTGCCATCCTGTTTCTCTCTCTCTCTCTCTCAAGTTTAGTTGGGCTTCCACCTCTCTCAATCCACCTCGGATTCCACTGTGTTCCAAGTTTGCCTCACCATTTATATATTTTATTATGTTACGAAAACGAACCCCTACAATGCTAAAATAGGCTTGACTACAATCCTTGTCAATGTGATTATCATGCCTAGACATGTGTGCTCCTAGGCTCGTGCCTTTTACTCTATTTCCTGGTAACCAGTAACCCCAAACTGTGTTTCAAGCCTCAAACCTGAATAGTCGTGCCCCCACCCCCCTTTAAGGTGGGCCTTAACAATACCCAGTGTTTTTTGTCCACAATCATTACCCAGATTATGCCAACAGATCTTCCTAGGTTCCTCCCTGATGCCCTCACGTCTTTTTGGTATAAGTCCTTACGCAAGCTCCATTGCATACTGTCTACACTCTATAGTGAGTATAACTGGGTTGCAAGTCCCTTATGAGGTGCGACCCCACTTAGGCCCTAGGGGTGCAACCTCCTGATTCGTTTCCATAGCTTTTCACCATTATTTTTATCTTCACACGCTTTACAGAATGCATTAGCCTAAACAAGGGACTCAAGGTGGCACTAAATTTATATATGTAACAATATAGACTTGTCAAAATACGTGTGTGACAGTATAGACCTTATAATGTATCAATGTAATGGATGGCAGTATTATCAAGTGTGCTCCAAAAGGCTGCCTTTAGTTTAATCACCTTCACTGTTAAATGTTAATTAAGCATTTGACACATGTTTTCCTTTCAGAACATATAAGAGGAAAGCTACCTATTTCTACTTGCAGCAGACTCAAACAAGCCAATGCAAGCCAAGCTCAAGCTACTCAATTTTATGTGAAGCCAAGCTTGGAACATGTATTGCCAATAAGCTCATGGCACACGCGAGCATGTTTTAACTAAATTTTATCAGTACCTTTAACCTTTTTGAAAGGTTTCAAATATATATATATATATATATATGTGTGTGTGTGTGTGTGTGTGTGTGTGTGTGTTTTGTTTAGTGGTAGGCTGGTAGCTAATAGCTAATTTTACTACCAAAGAATAAGGAAAGAGAACAAAATCCAGGGGACAACTCTAACCAACACCAACAAAATCCAAAACCACCACAATGAACATAGGGATAGCTATAATGTCAGTCTGACTTTAATGCCCGATATAATCGGTCTTCAACTGGGCAGTTCAGTTGGGGTTTAACAATGATCGATTACTTTGCTAATGAAATAAATCAATCTAACTCTTACTAACACATATTTCCATCCAAAATAGTTCCCAACCTATATTTTTTCATTCTTCAAACAACTCCATATAAAATAACAGTTAGCAAATTAGGAAGATAAGACATAGAGCTAATATTTAAAAAGTAAAGTAATGAAGTTAGAGCCACATCCATATAGATATTAGGTATAGACTACAAAACAATCAATAACCAATTAAAAGTTTGTTACTACAGCATTGGGTAAGGTACCTGTTTCAGAGAGCTGAAACTTCATCTTTGCTTTAACTCTTTGAGCTGGCGACTGTCATTGAAAAGATACACATTCTTTATTTTATAACAATAGCAAAGACAAAACAGAACCACAAAAAGCATATGCAATGTACTACAATCAGTACACAAACCTCTACTTGACAATTATAACACATTTTCACAAAAAGACCATCTGGATGGAGGATACTCCCACTTTTGGAATGATGTGTTGCATTTGAAGCAGTTTCTTCAGGTTCACACAGTATACAAGAATTTGGACCTTTTCCTTATGAAAAATATATAAGAATTTGGACCCTTTAAAGGGAAAGAGTGTGGATTCCACCTGCCCCAATATCTTAATCTTTGGTATGCATAAGAGTACGATCTCACTTCAAAAAGGCACATAGAATAACCAATTAACCATAGGAAGTTAACATGCACTCCTCAATTATGGAAAAAAATGCAAACAAAGAAATAATAGAGAAGAAAAAACACATTTAATGATCTAAACTATTATATTAAGAAAGAACCAAGTTTGGTCTACAGCTTCGTATCTAACAAATATAATGTTCGAAATTCGAACTTGTCCCGCCGCTTTTAAATTTACATGATAACTATATAGTTAAAGGGTAGGGTGATTGGAGTAGTGGAGAGAGAGGTATGGAAAAAGAATAAGAGAGATTTTTAGGGCATGCTTGGCTTGTAACTATGGAAACAATTTTCTAAAATAGAAAACTATACAAAAAACTCTGCTTGGTTCAGTTTTCTTAAAACTCAGTTATAAAAATGTCTGTTTTCAAAGAACTATAAAAGATTGTTTTCTCATCCACTTTGACTAAATTGTATTTACTTCTTATATGTGCTTCCTAGTTCAAACTGTATATGAGCATCTTAGATACATTATGAGAAAATGTCTAAAGTGGAGAACAAACTTGCTTTGGGTTAAATACAAGAGTATAGATCTGCCACACTGTGTCTCAGATAAGGTGTGATCACACGCCTCTTTCATGCACACCTTCTACTACAAAGGAATTGAGACAGCATGGTCTAAAACAAATTTTTGCACGAAAATTTGGTATTAGAAACTGTCAATTAATTTATATACCTAGTATATAAAATACACACACATATACTTATAAAAAAAAACAATACATACACATATAGATATATATGTATCTACAAAGAGGTAACGAGGAGCACAATCACAGAAACTCCTTATAAGTATAGTCTTTCTCTGTTTGGAAAAGAATTTCTTCATCATCTTGAACAAAATTGTGGGTTTCAAAGCTATATTTATAATTTATTTCAAATTAGTCGTTCTTTTAAGTTACTTGACCTTAATGTACTTTTACCTTCTTCTTGACTCCTTGTGATAGTCCAGATTAATGCTCTGTTTGGTTGAAGGGATGGAAAAATGGCCGGAAGGAAGAGGGGAAGGGATGAATGAGGCATTCCTAGGGAAGGGAAGGTGTCTCCCTCACTTTTTGTTTGGTTGCATGGAATGGATAGTAGAAAGGATGAATGGGGCGACACTTTTTTTTGTTTGGTCGGAAGGGAAAAGAGTTTTTATATTCTTTTTACCAATATACCCTCATTATATAAAATTATAAAAATTAGATATTCATTTCAAATTTTTGGGAAGGTTAAAAATAGAAATTACATATTTGTGGTAATTATCCATTCTTTCTCTGTCTTCTTCCCCCCAATTTTGAGCAGATAGAAAAATACAAAGCAAAGAGGGATGCTTCATCCCTCTTTTCCCATCCCTCCAGCCAAACACGAAAAAGTCCTTTTATCATTTATCCTTAAATAGGGATAAAAACATTAAAATGTAATTGGTTTGCACTTTGCAGTAGTTTATTGACTTGACCATCCTATGAGTTAATTTCAAAACAAATTTGCACCTGCAAAGTAATGTGGTCCACATTGAAGGTGATGTTAGGAAAAGAAAAAGACTGAAAGTATCATGGATAGTGAGGAAGATGATGACATGCAATTGGATTGAGAAATTATCGCTTACATAGAGCATATTAGTGAAATAGGATTCATGTAACCATCCCCTAATTCTTGGGACAATGCTTTATTGGAATTGACCTGAGTTGGTCTCATACAAATGAAAACCTACTGTGAGAGTATATAGAATGGAGTATACCGCGTGCATCTAAAGATTTTGACGCCATGCCTAACCCCTCACAGGAGCTACAAGCTAAATAAATGATGGAACAAAGAGGGTTAAAAGTTCTATTTGGCACTAACATTTAGAAAAAATTGGGTCCAAAGAAAAAACAATATCAACATCAATGACCACTTTATCATATAAATTCATAGCTTAATTATCAACAATTATCATTGTTTACCGTGTTTGACTTTCTTAATGCTATAAGTTTCCACAAAGTAACTCCACATTTTCCACTACCAAAGGAACTAAATTCAAAGTTTCAAACACTTACAATGTGATGCTTAATTCCACAAATTATATCAGTAGCCCCAGCTCAATCAAGTTTTGAATTTACAGTGAAAAAAAAAATTAATTTCGAGATGAGGCAAAGCTGCATGCCAATGGCAATATCAAAGCCTATCATTTATATCATTTCAATGGAGACCCTAAACCAAATTCTTGTATAGAAAACATTGAAAATACCAATTTAAAACAACTGGGTAAAGACGAATAGGACATACCATCTTGTCATAACCTTCAATCAATCTGGAATAGTCAACAGCCTTACTCGCGCCTTTCTCTCTCTCCAACCTCCGACCACTAGGGGAAGAACTCCTCCTCTTCCCCTCCCTGTCTCTCTCTCTATATCTATCCCTATCCCTATGTCTATCTCTATCTCTACTCGACCGCCGATCCGAGTGCCTCTCTCTGCTTCGGCTTCGGTTTCGCCTCCTCGAATGTCTATCTCTAGATCTCTCTCGACTTTCTCTCTCTACATCAGACTTGTGGCCATCTCTTGCACGGTCATTCGAAACCCTAGACCTAGAGGAGTGATTTTCGGAGGAGGGTTTGGAATTGGAATTGCGTTTGGGATTGTTGAGCTTGTTGTGAATGGTTTGGAGCTGAGCTTGTTTCTGAAATTGGGAGGTGTTTGAAGAAGGGCTCGAAGCTCTGACGAAGCTGCTGAGGAAGGAAGAAGAAGAGGGAAGAGCTGAGCCTCTGGTTGGAACAACGTCGTTGGAGTCATTGGTGGTGGTTGATGAGGAGGAGGAGAAGCCGAGGCCCTGCTTGAACCTGGCAGCTCCTTCGCCTTTGCGTGTCAGCTCGTCGTAGTAAGCTGCGGCTTTCGCTTCCTCCATTGATACACAGAGTCTGAGTATTTGTTACAGAAAATGGGGTATTGAAAAAAAAATGCCCTTTTTAGGGCCTGTTTGCATTCCTTTTCAAGCTCAAAAACACCCAACTCAAATGGAAGTTTCAAGGCCTGTTTGGTTTTAAATTTTCAAATCAGATCTCAATATATATATATAGATATATATCAAAATGATTTTTGCTTAATTACTGTTTGATAAAACAAAATTTGATCATCAATAAAAATGAAAGGCCTCACAAAATTTATAAGTGACAAATACATCACTTATCATTGCTGAAAACCTTACTTTATGTTCAGTTTTATAAAAAGAAGCACAGTTTTCAAATTTGAACCAAACAAATCTTTTAAATTTTTGGTTAATTAAATTAATTAATCGAGCCCTCAAATTCTGCTTCTAATCTAATAGTACAATCTAAAAGCATTGCTGTTGTTTTGTGGAAGCCTTTTTCTAGTTATTCTAGTTATATTTTTTGGAAAAATAAGCAAAAAATAAATAAATAAATAAATTCTTGTTAATTGACTGAGGAAAAAAAAAAAAAAAAAGACAAATCAGAAAATCTTGTTATATTAAAAAAAAAAAAATAGATAAACATTCAATTCGATTGTAGCATGGTTGGTAAAATCTGGTACAGTAAACAAAGCTGTAGTATAATTGTTTATATATATATATATATATATATATATTACATTTAAAAATTTGGCATAAAAAATGCAAGTCACAAGAACACGCATATATATATATATATATATATATATATATATATATATATATATATATATATTATATGAAAATTCGTGGTATCAAATACGATAGCAGTTTTATATAATTTATTTAATATATTACAATAATTATTAGTTTTAAACTATTGCTTTTTTATTTTAATGATATTCCAATATTAAATGAAATTAAAAGAGTTTCAAAAATAATATAAAACATTTATAAAGTTGTATATTATTGTTTAGATATGTTTTAATTACCCAAAAGAAACAATTCTTGTATTCTTTATTTCAATTTTTAATATATAGTTCTAACAAAGTGTGTATAATTACATAATTGAATTAATTCATCATACCATTTAGCAAAATATAGTAATTACTAATTATGTTAATATAAATATTGCAAACTATTTAAAAACTTGTTTTTTCTTTTAATAAAATGATAAAAGTCGATGTGAACTTTTAGAATTTTTTATGTAAGCTTAATATTTTTCGTAATTTATAATCCTATGTAGACATTAAAATTTTATTAATCACCTTTTAATCCAATTGACAATTCAAAGTATAATTTGGACTTACTATCAATCTGGCCCACCATAAAATATATGCCAATAGATCAAACTAAGATCCTGTCTGGTTGGGCTTCCTCTAGGATCAAAACGGGCTTTCAGGCCCAGGAAACCCATTTCCAATTATAATGAGTGTTTGGTAAAATTTCTGAAACAGACTTTTAAAAATATTTAATGGTTTAGAAGCCGGTTTGAAAGAAGCCAGGAAAACCTTCAAGTCCACTTCCCACGAGTGAAACACTTTTTAAGTAAAATCTCTATCTTGTCAATTATTTAAAGCTATTTTTTAAGAAATAACTCATGCTATTAGGCATTACACTTATTATAATAGCACAATAAAGAGTACATATCTTTCATTGAGCTTAAACGGCTATGACACCTATAATATGTAACAGTAGGTCTTAATTGCTATTATATGTAACTGCAACAAGGTGTTTAAATATAGAAAAGCACAAATACATTTATGTCATTGATTGTTATTACATCTATACATTTATTTTAAGAAATTCAAAAAGTTCCCTCTTGCACAATGAAAATAAGATAACAAATTCATGAGAACATGTAAAGGAAAGATTAACTTTCTTGCACAATGATTTTTCCCTTTCTTTTTAACTAATATATCATGTGGGATATATCTTGAATTTATATAGGAACTATATCAGCTTTATACTGTTGAAAAATTGCACATGGAAATTTCATAAAACAATAAGAACAATACATCATAATTTAGTCATACACAATTGATGAACCAAGAGGGGGTGAATTGGTTCTTCTAAAAAATTTTCTTCTTTGTATGATTAATGTAATATAATGAGTATGATAACAGATTCAACAAGCTTCCACATACATTTACAAGACTCGGTGCATTTACAAGAAAAACCATCTTAATAGGAAAAAACCTTAGCCTCATCCAATAAAATCTCCACTAGTTGTATGCAAGTAGTTACACACTCAGCTATTTCACTTTCTACACATACCTTTGTACAAGATGAAACATTAGCTTTCGCAGCCTCTACACATACACTAGAAACATTTAGTGCACATTGTATTCCCTCTGTCCAAAGCACCCTTCCTTGGACCTAATGAGCACTCACAGCTCACAACCAATACATAAAAAGGTTTATAATCAATAATACTTAAACAAACTTAAAGTATCAACACAAGCACATAGTCTTCATTCTGCTGAAACTAAGGTTTGAGGGGCAAAATAGGAATTTTGAGTCCCACAACCTCAGAGATGGAATCCAAAGCCTTGTATCTTCATTATAGTCTTGCTCAAATGATAATAAAGATGAATATAGCATGTGTATACAAATATTACTCAACTGCAGTTCTGCAGAAACTTGACAACAAGGGTTTCACAAGGTCAAAACATGTATTGACCTTAATCCTGTGCAAACCTCAACTTCAACAATCTTGATTCAACTATAAAAACTTGCTCAAATGATATAAATTCAACTCACAGCAAGATATAGTGATAATAAGTTCAGATTAACATACTAAACCAAAAAATCAAGCTGAAATACATATCTGAGACATCAAAATCAAATGCAGATAAAAGATGGTCATAAACATGCTTTCTGAAGATGTAAAATATATAGTTACACTTGCCTCAACCTAGTACAAGCACCACAGTAGGCTTAAATCAAACTAAGGCCTTGAAACCAGCTTCTGAACTAGTGAAATTCACAGCTACAGGCCTTCATTTGATCTTCAATACTTGTGTATTCTTTGAATGGATTTCTGAACTTAAATCAAGCCTTCATCATTGTATATAATCTCAGAAAAAGTGTGTTCATATATTCCTCACAATACACTCTCAATTCAGCTTGTTATAAGGGTTCACTCAAAGGCTTAAAAACCCTAGAAAGACTATAACAGCATATATATAGTACATCAACAATACAAATATTATTTCAAAGAGGAAATGTATATGTCACCACTATCCAATCAATGGACATGGAATTATCTGAAATTCCCTTGTGAATATACCATAATACACTTGCCACCTATTCAGAAAATATCTTCGATCAATAAGCATCCTTATTGACAGCCTTGAAGATGTATATATATATGAATGTATCACAAGCTTAATCACTAAGCAAAGAATGACAACCTGCATATTTTCATACCCAGATCACAAGTCACATGTCACAAGAGTTCTTAGCATATATACATTAACCAAAAAAATACCCTTACAGAGATATTGTCAATTAATAAAGATTTCAGCTGCTAAATCTGTGAATACTTTGAACACCTGTGAAATTAAGCAATTCAACACAATGTAACAACATACACAATGTATTATGATATAATACATGTGTGAAAAGACCTAATTACCCCTGAAAAGCTCTATATCAAAATAATATTGTCTCTGCTAGGGTTTCTAACCCTAAGATGTTTGCAGAAGTGTCTTTAAAGACAATGTACCTTTCTTAGACCATTTGGTCCATTTAGATAGTCTTCTTAACACTACGAAATGATCAAGATACCCCTGTAGGTCAATTGAATACACTATGTAAGCCATAAATACTTGGAACTCAATGTAGAGAACCTATTATGGACTTTTTAACATTTAGAAGGGTAAACCCTAATTAAAAGGTAGGACCAGCCATATCCATTTGCTCGGTTGGTTCTCTCCTCATATCTCGTCTATATTTTTTACTACGATCTGACTCATATCCTCCTTTGACACCTGAATTTACAAATCTTTATTGAAGGGGTAAACTACATGTTACTCCTAGTCACGATTCTCTTCGATTAGCAAAAGAGGTGACTGCAAAAAAAATCGCCGGCAAACCCCTTATATTTTACAGGGTATTATTAACTAATATGTCTTCATATACGAGCATTTGTAACAATATGTGTGTGTGTGTGTGTGTGTAATGACCCGGATTTTCATGGATATTTTTTTTCCGTTATCTTTTCTTTCTAAATTCAGTTCCTCTTCGCTTAGTGTCGTCTCGAGTGCTTTGGAGTGATTTCCGAGACTCTTTTATGTGGATTGACAACTTCCTTTGAGGATCGAGTCGTTTCCACATTTTTCGTTTTTCGACACTATTCACTTTTCGTCATTTTCCCTATTTCGTCCTTTTCCCTATTTTGTCTTTTCCCCGTTTGACACTTTGTTGGCATAACCACACTTCTTGTGTTTTAAATTAGTTTTTGACTTCATGTATCTCCATCTTGAGTGGTTTCCACGAAATACGTATATTTACTTTTGCAAGAAAGTACCCTAATTGTTCATGGTCTCCATAGGGGCATGAATTCAAAGTTCTTTGAAATTATTTTCTTTTCTTAGGGTGTTTTTCGTAAATATCTTTTGAAGATATTTTATTTCAGGGGTTTTTAAGAAAATATTTTTGGAAGATATTTTCATTCTGGGCCATTAGTGCAGTTTTCACTTTTTGGAGGGGCAATTGTGCAATTAATGAAAGTTATTGCTAAATGCCTTATTTTGAGCCTGGATCCTCGTATGGGATTCATTTTCACTTTTCGTCGAGTTGTGAACTCTTAGAAATTCTTTCTAGTCATTGTTTTCCAGTTTCAGGGTTTCTGGCCCCGGTCAGGGCCAAACTTGTTTGGGGCATAACTTTCTGCTCGGCACTCAATTTTTGACGCTGTTTCTTCCGTTATTCATATTTTCTCATTTTGAATCTTTTTCATTCATAGAGTTTTGTCATTTGAGAGCGTCTGCTCAAATTTCACTTTTTCGGACCCGGTTGGGCCCGTTCGGGGCACTTTTTGAGATTTCTATAAAAGGGGGTTGAGATATTTTATTTTTTCATCTTCCCCACTCTCTTGCACGACCTAAAGCTTCCATGGCAACCCAAGGGAGGCTACCA